CGCTCCTCCTGGTCCTCCGCCTGGCATCTCATGATGCGCCAGCTCGCCCCTTCCACCCCTTCCGGCTCCTACTCCCGCCCTTCCTCCCCCTTCCCCTCCGTCCCCGCCCACTACCTCACCTCCCGTCCCCTTCGCCTCCACCTCTACGCCGCCTTCTCCTGCCCTTGGGCCCACCGCACCCTTCTCGTCCGCGCCCTCCGATCCCTCGAATCGCTCATCCCCGTCTCCCTCGTCGTCCCCGGCAGAGACGGATTATGGGAATTTGAATCTCCTGATTACCCCGGTGGCTGCCGCACCTTAAGAGACGTATACGCGCTTCGGCCCGGCGGGTATGATGGTCGGTCGACAGTGCCGATGCTTTGGGACTCGGAGCTTAGAAACGTCGTCTGCAATGAAAGCTATGGCATCGTCGAGTTCTTCAACGCGCTTGATTCTGGCGGGGATGATCTCGCGCCGGATCACCTCCGGCGGCAGATTGAACATTGGAATGCGATCGTTTATCCCAAGATTAACAACGGCGTTTACAGGTAGGTAGATGCGGGTAAACGCAGTCTGTTCTAATCTAGTTGTTTAACATCCATCATAAGGTAGTCTTATTATAAAATAAAAATCAAGTTGAGTTCATCACAGAACCCAGTTTCTTTTTTTCATATTCGGCAGATGCGGGTTCGCGCAGAGCCAGGAGGCCTACGACGCCGCCGCTTCCGAGCTCTTCGCCGCCATGGATGCGATCGAGGAGCATTTATCTTCTTCCCGCTACCTCTGCGGCGATACGCTCACATTAGCAGACGTGTGCCTTTTCACCACACTGATCCGCTTCGATCTGGTGTACAACGTCCTCTTCAGGTGCACAAAGAAGAAGCTGGTTGAGTACCCTAACCTCCATGGATATACACGAGAGATATACCAGATGCCTAAGGTTGCAGATACTTGCCATTTCGGCGCCATCGTCGATTCGTATTATGGGACTCTGTTCCCCTTGAACCCTAGCGGCATTCGTCCCCTTCTCCCCGATTCTGCTTCAGAGGCCGAATTGCTTTCCAAGCCGCATAATAGAGAATATCTTTCTTCGACACGCAGAGATCCCTTGCCACAAGCTGCTTGATTTTTCTACAAGGAGTAGCCATTTGCAGAGCTTGCGGATTGGTCTGTTTTAAATAAAGAGATCACAATGAAGGTAGAGATGCTAATTAATAATTATGTAAAAACTTGTTGGAGTTTAATTAATGAAATTTGAATACAAATTGTGTCAGGTTTAGCTTGATAAAAGCTCTATAAAGATCAATTTTAAAATCATTAAATTTATTTTGAAATTAATATGGTAAAAATTCCTCATATGTTATATTAATTTAAAAAAAATTAAATAATTATCATATTCTTCTTCATATAATTTGTATACTATGTTATCATATAATTTTTTATGAATACCAGGTGGCATATTAGTTTTAAGTTTGAATTAAAATATAATTAATATATATATAATTTAGTTTAAATATATTTAACCTAATATTTAGTATAATATTGTGGATATATCATTTATTAAACAACTAAATCTCAAATTAAAAAATTATGATGATATTCTTCCATTAACTCGTGAACTATTTTATTTAGTTTCAAACTTGAATTCACATCACATCAAATTGATTAATTCGTTAGTAACATATTTAGATATATACCACCTATATATTTCATAATTGTACAATTTAACACATTTAAATATTTTAATTTATATTACATACCACTTATAATTCATTTCATTTAAATACTAGTAGATAATAGATTATTATTAAAATAAATAAAAATAACATGGTATGTAATATTAAAAGCTATAAGTATTAAACTATATAAATAGAATGATATAAAATGATATATATCTAAATTTACTCTTATAATTTTAGATTTATTTGATACAACTTTCTATTGCTTCTTAAAGCAAATGATTTAGTCAAAAATTTATTTTTGTATTAAAAATTTACTTTATAAAATTAGTAAGAAAACTATCATAAAAAAAATCTCGGTTTTCTGACAATTTAGATTCATTTGAAGACAATATAATTACAAATTATTAAAATTATTTAAAATTATTATAAATATTTTATTTAAAAAATAACAATTTTGTGCTTATAAAAAATAACTTCATCAAATAAACATTATAAAAACTAACAAAAGATAATATCAAACGGAAGTATTACATAAGAGTGGAAAAAACGAGAAAACTGCCCCCAAACAATCTTTCAATAATGGACCAATTTTTGATCATATTGAAACTACTGCCTCAGAACATTGTTAAAAACTATTGAAAAGACCATGCCGCTGTACATGAGATTTTTCATCAACACAAACTACCTGATGTTCAAAATGCCTTAGTTCTTCCGCACCATTAACTGTTAACGAATTCCAAAAACATCTATTTTCCTTCGAATACCAAGCACCATAGAAATCCAAATATCTGATAGGGGGAGCAAAAAGTTGGTCCACATTGCAGGCAATTAAATCAAAGGATGTCAGCTCAATTTTAAATTCTGGGCAACTTGCCGGAAGTTCACTTTGAGCCTGCAAGCTTCTGATCTAGTAGCCTCATGTGAACCCAGCCCAGTAAGGAAGCAATTAAGAGAAATGTAAGGAAAACTCAGTGAAGGAAGCTGTAACAGAAATTTAATGAAAGTTCAAAGCATGGAAACCTCGTGTTAACTCTAACCATTCATAGAGGAGCAAATGCAGGAAAGTTTCTAACATGTAGAACGATAATTTTATTTTCTGCTTTTGACGGCCGAACGCCGTTCAGAGACCAACCAGAATGTGCCACATCACCCCTTGCTCGATACCGCTGACGTGGCACATTGTGGTTGGTCTCCATACGTCGTTATGCATCCGATCTCCGCACAGAATAATTTCTCTTCAAATATAGAGTATATCTTTTCAATTGTAACATGGTTTCTTTTTGGCTCTTGAACCTTTCCTTTGTGATCTCTGGTTTCGATTTTTTTTTTGGGAGCAATGCAATGCATGAGGTTGTCCTGCCAATCCAGCAGTTCTTCGTTTCTACTTTTTTTTTTAAAGAAAAATAGGACTGGATGATGACTTGCTTTTGAAAGAATAAGTGGGAGAGCACCTATTTCTCAATTATCTGGAGTAATTTTTACATTGATTTTCTTACTCAAAATTTGCAGTCCCCTTTGTCAATTTTTTGCAAACATGAGATAAAACTTAGTCGTATTTATGTGATTTTCTTTTAAAAGCAATTGGAATACTTATGTGATTTGCCTCCAATTTGGTTTAGCTACTATTTCTGTTTTGTTTTGTTTCAGTGTTTTTTGACTTGCTGCTTAGTTGCAAGGGTGCCTTCAGGTTTATCAATCTCCTGAGTAACTAACTTTATCGTCAATGCTCTAATACCTTGATAGAAAACACTTGTGTTTGCAAGTATTCCTAACCCAAATTAGTAAAATTTCAGCAGTAAACTGCTGTCCACAGCAGCCAAACAGCAGGAATTCAGCAGAAAATAGGGAAACGGGAAGAAAAACACAATAATATGCTTGTATTTCACTAGAAAATCAAGGAAAACAGCAAAGATACACTTGATCCTCAATTCGAGAGGAGGATCGATCTCTCCCAAATCTCTAGACGCCGCTAGAGCCCAAAGAAAACCTAAATCTAAGCGATCTCAAATTTCAGCCAAATTCAAGATGATCAAATCCTAGAAAAATCAACTATTTAATGCATACAATTCAAAAAGAATTCCCTAAACAGTCTCTACAATCAATTTCCCTCCTAAACACCATTCAAAAACCTTCCAAAAAGGGCTCCGGTGGATTATGCGTGCGTGCGGCTTCCGCCCAGGCGAAACCAGTCGCCTGTTTCACAACTCGGCCGGTCCCTTGCGGACCGGCTGGACCGGTCTAACATACCTCAAATTGGGTCTATTTCAGTATTTTGTTTTACCAGCTAAAACAACTCGCCCTGATTCCATTGTTAGATTGCCTCCAATCTAAAATTTGTTTTTAGCGTTTACAACATCAATAATTTTGTGCCTTAGTTGTAATACGTTGGTTGATAGTTCTCTGGATTTTAATGGTTCCCATTCCAGTTGCCCTATGTTAAACTCTGTTAAACTCGGTAAAAAGAGAGATGTTGCAGTTCACCCCTTTACAGAGATGCAAGACAACGAATCAACAGAGAGAGGGCAGTAGGTTTGCATAACACAGAAATGGAGATGAGAGCCGAATCAACCGAGCATTAAAGAGGTCGACAACAAAGTCCTACATGGGGTCCTGGTTGGATACCCATTGGGTACCCATGCTTTACTTAGACGGGCTTCGCCCACCCACACCCACACCCACCCATGGTGACTTTCGGGATGCCGTACCACCTATGCCCACCCACTTTCCATGCTTGTTGAACGCAATCTACCACTAACTGATGGCATTGAGGCTTGTTGCCCTTTGCTCTAATTGCAAACTTTCAAGCCGCATATTAGAATTTACCGTAGTCGCAGCTATAGCGTGGTTAAGTGTTGCACACTAAATAGTGAGGATTAAAGTAATATAAGATATACATTGATTAACAATATAAATTGATTTATCCCTCAATGTTGAGTACCCACCTATACCCACCCACAAGGCCATGGGCGTACCCATACCCACCCATACCCATTGGGTATGAGTGGGTACATGGGTGGGTGTGGGTATGGGTACCCAATGTAGGGCTCTGGTCAACAACGGCAAGCAAGTGAACACAGTGGTAAAGATGAAGAGGGAGAGAGGGGAGACTAGCAAAGAGGAGATGGGTAGGATAATGAAGCCTAAGCATAGACATCTGATGGAAATACTGATTTCAGTATTTATTCGTTTCTACAAGCAAATCTCAATGCAACTGACTGTTCCAAGACAAAACACAAAACATGAAAAAGGGAAATTGAGAGAATGAGAACAATGTATTTATAGTAGATGCAGGAAAATGCAAAGATACAGGATCTTAATTCGAGAGAGAGACGCATCTCCATTCTAAATTTCGTTCTAGAGCCAGCTCCGAAACCCTATTGCAATCATCAAACATGAAAATGCCTAATCTCATCATACTTCTTAATAAATAAATTTCTGAATTGGTTTTCTCTCCTAAGCCGCCGCCCCTTCCTCTTTGATTTTCAAATGATGCAGCAAGTGGGCCCACTTGTGGGTGGCAAGATGTGAGGAAGGTGAATACCTCCGCTCTATTATGTTTGCTGGCCGGCTGGGCGGTTAGCTCTGTCCGCTACAACACCAGGCGCTCCCAAAGAATACCGTTGTCCTCAGGGAAAACAGGAAATGATGTTCATCCTCTCCGTTGGCGTTCACGTGGGCACTCGTAGTGCTGGAAGGTTCTCACTTGATCACCACTTCCTAGTTCCTCTTCTTTGGCGAACGCCATCAGTTCTAGGTCGAAACCCACCTTAAATCTCCGTCGGGTCAGCTGGTAGCATCGGGGTGGCTTAATAATCGACAATTGGCTCCTCACTGTGATCATGAAATGACTGGATTATGGTCGCCGTTGGTGGTAGCTTCAGTCGATACCAACTGCTCCTATTCTTCTCCACTTATGAGGCAAAGTACAGGGAGCAGCTTCTCATCCACTGTTGGCGGACTGTCTTCTGTTTATTACGGTCGGAGCTTTCAAATACATTTCTCCCCCACTACGAGCTGGATGTCCTCCATGTCTGCCGCTTGCCGCTTCATAATCTGCTTGAGGCCCTCAAGTAAAATGTCTCTTAATTCTTCCAGTACTTTATCCTCTCCTTCAGTACTCCTCTACTGAAGAGAGGGAGTACTACTACTCCAAAGCACCTAAGTGAGGAGGTCCGTTCGTCAACTTTGAATGGAGTCATCTGTGCAGCCGAGTGAAAAGATGTTGTACCAGTATCCGCAATGATATGCCACTTAGCCACAGCTTGGGCGTCTCCGACACAAAGCATCTCAAGTAAGGTCTTCCAAGCTCATATTTGCATCACGTCTTGGCCATCTGTCTGAGGGTGGTAGGGGTGCTCCTTCTAGAACGGTTCCCTGCAACTTGACAATTCCTCCAGAAATGACTAAGGAACACTTACCTTGTTGACACGATTGCCTCTAGTATCC